TCATGCCATTCTCGTCTGTCATAAAACTATCATCCCATTGGTATAGTGAAGCTACAGATAGCATGCAATTTAGCGCGAAAGCTGCGCCATGAGCCATTGACACTGCAGACTGCACTACGTCTACCACAATGAGAAATTTACTCAAACACTTGTTCTCGACTGCTTATTTAAATAGACACTTATAGACACGAATACTGCTTATTTAAATAGACATTTTATAACTTAGATCGATCTTTGGCATGCAGCAGCCATGGCAAATACATGTAAAGCGCAATTACTGTAAGACCGGCCCCGTGAATATAATTATTACAGGGGTACACGAAAAGAACGTATCGGTGACATACAGATCATTTAGTTTTGTAAAGGATTACAAGAAAGTGATTCGGAGCGCGAAAGCGAAAGTTTTGGTGTGAGTATCCCCTTTTTGACACCATTTTCCAACTGTCGCAGCGGATTCGATAGGTCATCTCAACACCAGGTAACCGACACAGCGGATCCATAATATTTTCTCCACAACAAGGCATTTTCAAGCTCAGTCACAGCTGCCACAAACTAACTGTAATTACATATGTAGACTGTATACGGCTATATTGCATAGTCGTACATGCATTCGACAACACAATCCATATGCTTATAAACAAAATAATGTGTTATATCCCTACTCGTGCAGTCGCTCAAATGGCCACTTTTATATAGTGGGCCAGGTCAATTGCATCTGGGTAACCATTGCGCGTCGGGTAACGGAGAAACGCGTAAAAATCTGTCCATGACTCAGCGAAAAATTCATTGTCCAATCGTAAGTCGAGTACGCTTCCGTGGCAAGAAAGAAATTGAACAACTGAAAAACTGAAGTGGAACCGAAAATTTTATTTTCGATCCTTTAATCTGGTAAAACGTCAAAAAAGTTAATTCTGAGTTTACGATTGTGAATCTGGGTCGCTGGATGCACTTTTGGTTCAAACAAACAAAATTTTGTTCATCTGTGCAGGAGAGTACGAGTTACTCGTAGTTTGGGTAACGGTTGCGCTTCGATTTCAAAGCGCAACGGTTACACGCAGGTAAGCTGAACGCGCCCTAACGTCTGGTTTTTTACCGAAAAACGTATCGTGCGTACAGACTTTTTTTAGAATGACGTAAGATTACACAGAGCAATTGACCTAGCCCAGTGAGTGAATGGGCGATGGTCGTTCATAGTGACCACCATTTATTACAAATTCCGCAAACCGATTTCCTTCCGGTTTTTTTCTCTATCCATTTCAGCATAGCGTACTCTACATATTGTACTTTAAATTTTGAAAAAATCTTGAACTGAAATGTTTTCTTGAACTTGTTTCTGAAACTGAACTTGTTTTCTTGAAAATGCATTGTTAAAAAAACAGTGACGTTTTTGTATACAGTACGCGTTTGCGTCTATGGAACTAAAAATTTTTAAGTTGTCAACTGAGACACATAGTTACTCGCTCCATTATTGTTGACGACAGCTGCCGATGGCCATTTTTACCCAGCTAACCGTCGTTCAAAAGGGGAATTATAAGTTACTAGTTAACGGTTAATAGTCGTTATTGATTATTATGCAGTATCTCCGTTCAAAATGGAAATAACAGTGGTGAAGGTTTCTTAGGTTTCTTACTGCTGCCATGTTTAGTATCTACTGTAGTTGTTCGGTTGTCTCTGTAGTGAGCAGATTAATAATTATGAATACACCGCCACTACTTATGCGACACAGTTTTATCTGTACTCGTATTTAACTCATTATTGGTTTTTCTATGACGTTTTCGGCATAATACATACCTTTGCCGGCATATCTGCAAGTATATCACCGTTAAAAATTACAAATTACTTTAAGGAAACTGCGTTAAAAAAGCGCCAAAACATAGCGTCAAAAATGGGATACATACACTAAAACTTTCGCTTTCGCACACTCCGAGGAACTTTTTTGTAATGTTGGGGGATAGGCAAGCACTCCTGTACTTGCTGCCGTCAGCCGGCTGGAGTTTTACGTTGGGGCTAAACATGGTACTCATGTACCGACTACCGCTTATGCCTGATTAAACCGTATATACTGCCGTAACGTCACACTCCAGGCGGGTGACGGCATCAAGTACAGGAAGTGCGGCCTCAGCAGTTAAACTCCCCTATATGTACTGTGTACTTTATCTCATTCTAAAGCTAAATAATTTGCATAAATTGTTCTGAAACCCGTTTGTGCGCGCAAAAGGTTTTCGAAACAATATATACAATTCATTTAGCTTTAAATTGACATAAAGTACTACAAAAGAGTGATTCGGAGTGCGCTAAAGTGAAATTTTTAGTGAATGTATCTCATATATATGTGACGTCATGTACCGGCCATTTCCCTTACAGCGCTACCACCCGAACTGCACAATCGTAACCGACCAAAACGTCCGGACGACCAAGACGTCCGCCGGACATATTGGTCGTCCGGACGTTTTGGTCGGTTACGCACGATGCCATAAAATGAAGCAGTGCCAAGAAAACGCTGAAGAAACCATATCATACAGACAAAAGATAGCGTTGAAAAAAAGTTGAAACTTTTGACATGTTAGTGCAGAGCCCGACTGGCATTACAATTAATGTTGCTCGTACGGAACGTCCGTAGATTATGCCGTCTGATCTACTGTAAATAATCCCTCATTTGTTGTCGCCATTACGGGTATTACCTATACTCGTACAGGTACTTCCACTTGAGCTTGAGTTATAATGTTATTTATCATATTACTTGCTATATGCTGTAAGTGTAGTTCAAAGGATTAATTTGTACCCATAACGTTAACAACATCACATCCACAAATTTGCACTCGTATGGAACGTCACGGTGTTAAATACGGTGTTAAAGGTCTCGACAACGTTCACATTCTACATTTCGGGCGGCCTCCGCGGAGTAGGGCACGGGATGATGTACTCGTTCGCGGGTCCCGGTTCGGAATCGCACGGTGCCGGCGTGGTGGTCAGCGCTGCAGCGGCAGCAGCAGCGGCGGCAGCAGCAGCAGCAGCAGCCGCAGCCGCAGCCTGTTCCTCCATAATTCTGTCGGCGGTGATGTTGATGTGCTCGCCAATATGCAGCCAGCGACCTTCCGGCGGCCGCGGGGTAATCGAGATAGCAATAAAAGCCTTGGCGTTGGCTATATTTTCCGGTGTACACTGGAGAAAATAAGAAATGCCCTATAGTCCATCGTTGATAACATTGATAACATAATCCATCGTTAATCCATTTCTCGGGTATCGGTTCGTAGAATGTACACGTACCTCCAAATAGTCCTCATGCGCCAGCAAAGCAGCGGTACAGAAACGTACAATCGTCATGGCATCCATTAAACGCATGATTTATGTAGCGTTTGTAACGGGTTAAAGAAGAGATGAAGTTTAATGAGTTATGCGGAGTATTTAAACGACTTGTGGAGAATAAACTGTAGCTGTGCATCCCACGCTTTTTATAGTTAAAGAGAGAAAATATTCATCGCTGGTAGACGGGTGCACTAGACGGAGAAGTGGGAATATTTTGCTGATTCGTTAAGCCAAATTCGTGTGCTGATACTGTACAAAAAGGTGCAGATTGTCACGTCCACTTCACATAATACGACGAATTTATTTCGGCTCTGACACGGTGTATGCCTGTTCGTACTGCTTCCTTCTTGGTTTTTGGTCGTTATGAAGATAATAGATTTTCGGTTTTAGGATTGTCGACTAGCGAATTTTAAGAAAACTGACTAAGCGAATTTGTAGAGGTAGGAAACGAGCACTCTCGAGAACGGCAAAATATGGAAGCGCCCTGCCATGGGTGTACCCTGTAGAGTATATTTCGAGTGATTTCAGTCTGGCACGAGCCGACTGCAATGAATTCCTGACGAAAACGCTCGAAATACTGATTTGTCAGCCAAAACCTGCGCATGTGTTTGCTGTCCGAAATAATATTAATGCAAGTGTATTTTAATTAGGATTTAACTGATGAAGTTCAACCGTATAACTTTATTGTCAATATTTTAATTTGGTTTCTATAATTTTATCGCAAATTAATTTTAGTAATACTCGTACATATTTTAAATTAACCGTGGAAGTTACTTGTGCCCGTAATTTAATGTGGGTAATAAATTAGGAGTATAATTTAATTTTAATTTAACTGGGGTAATATTTTACATAACCGTGGAATTTCATTTCAATTGTGCAATAATTTTAATGAAATTTAATTACGCGCCGGTGTGTTTGTTCAGACAAGTGCCGGTGCTGCTGCAAGGCGAGACGTCCATCGGGAAGACGAGCCTGATCACATGGCTGGCGCGGGCCACCGGCAACCGCTGCGTGCGCCTCAATAAGTCCACGAGCACACCGACCTGCAGGACTACCTCGGCTCCTACCAGCCCAACAAGGACGGCAAACTGGTCTTCTGCGAAGGTCCGTATTTAACCTATAATTGCACGATACAGAAAAATGACTGTCCTGTAAGTAGGAATTCTGGTGGACGCCGTCCGCAAAAGGCTTCTGGATTAAGTTCTTAAAACAGCTTCTACCAATGGCACAGCGGTCAACCTTACAGAGCAACGAGACCACAACTCAACATTTTTCCAGTTATGCAGTCGAAACTTTTAGCGTACAGCGAGTCTCGCACTCACATCACAAAATCAATTGATTTTTCACAAATTACATTTCGATACAGGCGTTGTTTACTTTTATTTTTGTTAGTGCGAGACTGTGTGGCTTTTCACTGCGGATCCAGTGATGTCAAAACTGGAACGATTAGTGCTAGTAGTGAACTAAAAAATAAGTAGTATCTCTCATACAGACTTGTGTGTGAAAAGGTACTGTATTGTAGCAGTAGCCGATGTGGCTGCTGTTCTAGTGGGTTGGCGTGTTGACCGTACCACGATGTTGTGTGGACTGTTGGGATGAAAGGTTGGCGCGACCGGCAACGGCGCGGTCGTGGACGCTCTTACTGACGTAACACAATTACGGAACGTAACAACGGAAGTTCGCGGCATGTTTAATGACAAGAACAATGCATGACAAGGAGCAAGGTTTAGGCAAGAATTTACCTAGCTGATCAAGCTGTAACAAGGGAATGCAAGACTGAATTCTAGAAATTGTGAAGAAGAACAGCTAGCCGGTAAAATGGACAAAAATTCATAACGCAATGATGAATCATAACTGGGTGGTCTTATGGTTGTACAACTTCTATCGCTACAGTAGCATCCGAAGAATGTGTTTGCCTAGAGCGCGGATCGCCTTGAGCCAGGCGTTAGTGATTCCAAGAAAGTTCGAAAAAGACAATGTGAAAACCAGAAAAGATGTTGGGGTTTAAGGGTAGCAAGGGAAAATATTTTGTTAATACACTTGGTGAGATCGACCTGCACTTCTGGTGAGAAATGCGAGTTCTGCATCGTAACGGAGCCGGGAGAGTTCCTTTCAGATACCGAACACCTTGAACTCGAGCGTCCAATCAACGGTGAGGGGTGTGGTCAGAACGTTACAGAACTTCCGGACATGTATCTTACAGAACTCAAAGTGCGTGTCGAGTGGGCCTAGTGCAGTGCTAATGCGTCGTTAGTACGTCGTTAGATCCGCGTAGGCAGTACCACTGCACCACGGCGCAATACGTTGAAATCCTTCAAAAGACTTTGTCGCTTTACGTGAGCCGCTTCTCGCTTCACAGGTAGTATGATCGCAGCCTAATTGGATAACGCGGGCGCAAACAAGTCCCGACTGGTTCGTCCATCGGCATCGGCATGCGACCCATCGGGCCCCTCGTCCAACGATGACGAGGGAGACCGGAACACCGCCTGTCGGTCACCGGCCGGGCCAACGGCCGCCACCAGACACATGGTCCCACTGCAGTACTCATACGACGCCCGCTTGTGATCCCGCATGGCGTACGGCGTCCGGGTGACGTTGTGCTGCGTCAGCTCGGTAATCCAATGGATCTTCGCGACGCGTTCCCGCAGTTTGTCCGCGAGAAGGTATTCCTCCTCTTCATCCAGCTCGTACGGATCAATCTCCTCGGGCAACAGTACAATCGCCCCTTCTTCCTCCGCCATCAGATCAAACAGCTCCTCATCGTCGTCGAAATCGTAGAGAACATCGAACTGCATGACACGCTCCGTCAGCACGGCCCCTGGGAAATGCTCCCGCGGGCGACCGGGGTGGCGCCGCAGGCGCAGCTCGCCCTGGGTGCACAGCTTGAGACGGACGGGCAGCGAGAGCGCCTCGCACACCCGCTTGACCATGGCGTCGCGGCCTTGCAGATAACCCATCATTCTTCCGATACTATTCTCCCGCTCACGGTAGTCGGGGCACTGCGGGTACGCCGGCGGATATGGATACTGCAGTCCGAAGCCAAGGAGACCGCCCTTCGGTAAGAAACTGGACTCGGCCAGTAGCTGGGTCAAGGTGTCGCGGACCAGGGTCTCGCTGTCGACCGCGGTCTGGCTGCCGACGACGTCTGGGAGGGTCGCGGGCGTCAGGGCGAGGTTGTAGGTGAGGGTGACACGGTGGCCGTTCTCCACCGGGAGCATCTGGTGATGGACACCGCCGCGGAAGGCCATGAAGGCGATGGAGGGCTGCTGCGCAGCGGCCAGCGCCTGGGCCGCGTCGAAGCGCCACTGTCGGCCGCTGCAGCGCAGCACCGACGCGCCACCCGTGTGGAGGGTAGGGAAGACGACGATCAGGGAGCCGAACGTGTCGGCGCCGCGCGGTATAGTCGGGGGAGGCTGGGAGAAGCCGCCTGTCCCTGCAATTGCACGTCTCAAAGGACAGTCGTCGGTCTTCACAGTTACACAAGAAATCCACAATTTAACCAGCGTAACAAATTAATTTTTTTTTCTCATAAAAACGTTGTGGAATTCTATCAATTTTTAACTCCATCCATATATGCATTTTATTATTAATTCTTTCGTAAAATTATTCTACAAAAAATATTCAAATAACTCAGAAAATTAGATAAAAGCTAGGAAATACCGGAATTAATAAATACGAGAACTTCAATAATAATAAATACGAGAACTCGTAGTGAACTTTAACTATTAAATAATTAAAAATATTTATTAAGTAACAAAAAGAAAATAATTTATTAAATAAATTAAGATAACGGACGAATATGAATAATATTTGTAGTATACTTAAAATTTACAGAAATTCCGTTGAGGCAAACAGCCAGCTTACTGTAGACCCTCATGTGGGAGAGTTGCGCTGTGATGGTATTGGTCTGGCTGCGCTGCTGTTCCGACAGCAGGTCTATGCTGATGCAGCGCAGCAGCCCCGCCTGCTCCACGTCCAGTTTGCTGGCGAAAGCGTCCACATCCAGCTGGCCCGCTGTGTGGCAGGACGCGTCCAGCACATCCTCAGCGGGATCACAGGCGCCGGCCAGCAGTTCCAGCTCATCGGGAGTGGCGCGCTGCATTGAAATCCGTCTGCCCAGGAAAAAAGCAATGTACTGTTACCAGTTACACCGTCAGTACTCAGTACGGAACGTCAGTGGCGCCACTATTATTATTATAATTATTACATCAAGAGCAGACAACCCGCTAAACGGGACTTCAGCGTCTGGTCGGCAAAAAGCTAAACAAATCAGAATTGCTAAGACAGAGCAACAGTTCGGAGAGCAAATTTGAAAAATCCCACACCATCAACACCGAGTATCTGCAGGTTAACTTTTGTATGCGTTCACAGTCTGCACCTGGCAATACGGTCTTTCCCGTAATACAGCGTCAACGCCGCGGCCGGCACACGGCACACACCGCAGGACACGCGCGAGCCTGGCACGATGGAGGCGCGAACGGAGGCGATGAGCTGATCGCAGAGCATGTTGCTGGCAGCAGTCTGGTTGGCCACGGACGCAGCGCTGCTGGCGTTTGCCGTAGCCGTTGCCGTCGATGGCGCGTAGACAACAGCATCTCCGCAAAATCTCCTCTGCCCACTGGCTGAACGAAGGCAAAATGGTTGGGCAGCTGTTTGGATTAGCCTGCCCAGATTCAGGAGATAGTGTGATTTCGTCAGGGGATTAAACTTGCCAAGCATTCTCCAGCGTGTTGCTTCTCTAGCGCATGTATTACTGGTGTTTAACGAGTTGTGGTGACTTAACTAGCCTAGCATATTCGATGTTCTTCAACGGATAAGGATATGTGAGAGCCCCGTTTACGGGCTTGGCTACTCGAAATTAAATCAATCAATCTAACAAACTGAACAAAGTTAAAAGGAGAAAACTCAGAGAAGTTAGAAAATTCATCAAGACATCCACAACGTCTGACAACATGATTCAGGTCGCGACATGTCCGACTCCAATACCACTACACAATTCCAATGAAACCGGAAACGGCTGCAGCTGCCCATTTAATGGAATTCCCAGCCGTAAATCACTGTAAATGCCATTGCGCAACGATAGACGATTTTATTCATATTATTTTATTCGGCTTTTTACTTCTCACTGAATCTCACAGCTCGTTTTACCGTTTCTGTGCCTGTGAGAAGAACTCAGGTTTATCGTGATCGTGTTCTTTGAGTCATTCGTAATGGGATAGTTTGTATCCTTCCTTTCAGAATCATTGAGGAATTTTACCGTGTAAAAGTTGTCTGAGCGCACGTTTGCATGCGTGAAGCGGCGTGCTGCGCAGCCATGGACGCCGTGAATTCCTCGGCAGTCTTCTGAATTTTCTTTTGATTTTTGATCTTTTCATTTGTAAATCTGTGCTACCCTCGTCAGCCCGCGTTTGCCCGGTTTTTTCACAGTACGGGTATTTTCTGTAGCACTCCTCCGGTCTTGTAATCCGGCCGAACCACTAACTTTACCAATTTGTCGGCGAATCGTGTCGCTGCATCCTGTCGCAGCGCCGCCCGCCGCGCGATGGAGAGGCAAACCCCCGTGTCCCTCCATCAGTCTGCCCCCCGCCTCCCTATCCACCCGCGACGCCGGCCTGGGGCGGCGCGTCACCGGGCCCCCTCTGGAGACCCTCTGGGAGGTGTACCCCCAACAGCGCTGGCGCCTGGGGCAGCCCGCGCAGGACCCCGCGCGCCAACTGTAGGACGACGACAGCATCGTCATCTTGTCCGACTCCATCCCCAAGTCCCGCCACCATTATTTAGTCCTTCCCTTGGAGCCCCACGACACCGTCCAGGATTTGACGGCGGAGCATGTGCCGTTGTTGCGGCATATGTATGATCCAGCGGGTGCAGTGCTTTGCGGATGAGCAGATTTTACCGGAAACGCACTATCCGCTGGTGCTGGGGTTTCATAGGATTCAGACGTTTATTTGAGTGCATATAAATATGCGTCTTATTACCGTGGATTTTCAGGGGACAGGTTAGTGCACGGATCAGTGGAATATTATTTTTTATTAGAATTCTCTGGCCTAATAAGTATTCAGTTCTGGGTTCTGTTAGTTTTCTCTCGTTTTGTGTAGGTATTTACAGCCCTGCTCCGCCACACGCGGGCAGTAATAAAAATCTTCTGACTTCGAATGCTGAAGTGTACCATTTATGCTTTATTTTTGCATGATAGTCCTTGGTCTATAGCAACTTCCTAAAATATGTTTCTAGGCAAGAAGCGAAAGAGCAGGGAATGAGAGCAAAAGTTTTACTTTAACTTTTTTCGAAAAAATCAGGTTGCTTATCAAGAAATAACTGTGTCTGATCAATATTATTTTAAAAATCCTAGACGAATGAAAGCGAGCAAATGGCAACGTAGCTTTCTATTGTTCCTTTCCCAAGTTTCGTTTAATCCTTAACATCATCTCTACAACTCTGAGTCCTCTTGGCATCCTCATTCTTTGGAAGGTACCGTTAACCATACAAGTCTATGGGAGATAGATCTTGTTTTGGGTTCACCTCGAGCGCTGATAGCGCAAGGTGCTTTTGTTAACCAGTAACAGATACCTTTTGGGTGTGTCAATAATTTACAAAAAGGTCAACTCAAAAAAATCGGTTGTTGAAATTGCTATGAAGGCTAGTATAAGCATCTAAACAATGACCGCTACCTCCTCCCCTTAAATACGGCTTGGCTCGCTACTGACACTTCAAAAGATCTCAATTTTAGCATTTCTGAATCCGCAACAAAAAGTTACACCAGGAAAGGGCAAAGAAGAAAACGAAACGGCTCACAGAAGTATTTTCAAATTTATTTTGTGCAACTGCCCGCGTGTGGCGGAGCAGGGCTGTAAATTACATACGTAATTAAATTAAATTAAATTACATTACAACGTATACGAAACCAGAGAAAACTAACAGAACTGTAACTAACAAATTACAGTACTTAATTTGTTTAAATTTAATTTTTGTAATAATTGTTCGTTGATTTATTTGATTAATTTCACTGTTTTTTCCCTTCTTTTGCGTTTGGTACTTACCAATAAACTCTTTTATTTTTCTGTCTTTTTAATTATTTTTTTCAAGTTATTCTCTTATGACAATTTATTTAGTTGCTAATTTTTTCATGCGTACTTGTTCGCTGATTTATTTGATTTCTGTTTCAGCTTATTCTCCATTATGTTGAATTGTTTGCTGATTTTTCAGAATAATAATGCGGAAATCCTTCTTCCCACTCAAGTTTATATAGGGACCGGTTTTCGTACCGGGTTTATTACAGACACGGAGACACCCAATTTTACAAATGTAATTTATTTCATATTTCTGTGAAAATTATAGTTATGGCATTTTCGCGGGCGTGTTATTATTTATCTTTTTTCCAGTTAAATAATTATAATAGTCATGTAATTAATAATCACCAGGTTCAAGTTTTTCGTTTTGCTTTCTCGTTGGTTTATTTGATTACGCTTCCGAATTAATTTTCTAATGCCTGGTATTTCTCGTCGACTTGAAAAAAATAATGGAGTGATTGAGTATTTGATTTCTCATGTTAACTTTACTTTGATTTGTTTGGCTCTCCTAGAGAATAGTTTTCTGTTTGTAGTTTATGCCAGATTAAAAATGTGTAAATAAAAATATTTTTTTCGGATGCCTCAATTAGGTAAAACTGCAGTTAATATTTATTTTATTTGAATTTTTTTGCATGGTGTTTTAATTTGTCTTTATTTGTTGTAGCACGGTGGTGCCGACGGACTAGCGCTCCTTCAGCCACAGTGCGCTTTTCATGCCGTCGGACACGCCACCGACCTGCACACCGCCGAGACGGAGGATGCAGATGCCGGTTACGTCTGTAAATTCCAGGACGAATAAATTAAAATTGCCGTTAATTTTTTAAAAAATTAAAAATAAAATTCTCAGTCTACTCATGATGAATTTGTGATGGATACAGTTTGCGCCGATGTTGTAACGATTAATTTAAATTGATTAATTGGTTAATTTAAATTAATTAGTTCAGTTTTAAATTATTTGTTGTGACAGTTTATTTTTATTTATTATGGGTTGATTAATAGTGTAATTATGGAACAAGAACCCGTGCTTACTTGTCAGCAGTTATCTGGGATTTCGGAAATATCGCTATAGCCAGAATTAGCTGTATTTATGATAATCAATCATTTTAATCGTGAAAAGTCGTGTAATTACCGTTCGCAAGTCAATCTGTCGAATCAGTAGCCATACACAGTTCAGGTTGGTGATCAAAGCAGTCCGATCATTTTTTAGATTATCATTTTATTTTTTTATGTTATATATTACTATTTACGGTCCTTTTCTTTTATTTTCTGATCATTTTAATATTTTTATTTTACAGTTACGGTATTCTGTTATCATTTTCTTTTACTCTTTTGTTTTAATTTCTGATAATTTTATTTTTGTTTAACATCCTAATAACTCTGGAAGAAAATATCTCGAACATCACCGAAACAAAATAAATTTGCGAAATCTGCAGTCTAAAAAATTACGCTCCACCAACTCACGGCATTATTTATCCTTCTTGCTTTGCATCGCTGGCATTTTACCCAAATAATCACGAATGCACATATTAAAACAGCTGTTGACCTTTTTTATGCAGCTCTCCCAGGTTGTCATTCCGCGACCCGAATTCCCATTTTCCAATAATTTCCAAAATTTGCAAAGCAGTATTACAGATATGACGCGGCTTTTATACCAATCAGACGGCTACTGTTTTTTATACTAATTTTATGCTACCGCTGTTTGACCAGGAAAAACTGATTCTTTGCTTTCTAACGAAGTTCTTGGTAATTTATTTTCCCGAATTCAGAATCAACGGTCAGAAAAATCAATTGCCGGTATCGGCTCAAGATTTTCGAAAGTTTCTAGGTTTTTAAGACTTTTGGAAAGGGCATCCCAGGAAACACAAGAATACAAATTGTCCCAGGAAGCACAAGAATACAAATTGACTGTATTTCTATGTTATGGTGGTCGGTGTATCAGAATTAGTATAATTCAAGTCTTAAACTTTTCGTACTAGCGAAATGAAAGTACAGATATCAGCTTAATAATATATGGGAGATTATGTTTGATAACAGAAAATAAAGAAACAGTGGAGAAGATGGCACAGGACTTGAAAGGCAAATACTGTAAGTGAAACAGCAGATGAACGTCATTTGAAGAGCTTTAATTCAAATGTCATTTGTTGTTTAAGAGTTTTTGTTCATCGGTATTACGCTTGCAATGTAATGAATAGATATTACAGAAATTTCCTGCGAATTCATACAAAAATAGCAATTACACAAAAATCGTATCGCTGCTAGCTGCTGCAGAGGCATTTCTTCTAACTATCGCTTCGAAACGCTGTTGATCATGTTCATGGCTCCTCGGTAGCTTTGGCGTAATTCGCGGCCTATGTGACATATTATTGCGCAAAGCCCGAACCAGATATTCCCAGCGTCTCAGCTACCAGTGGAAAGGAAAGATATTCGGATTCCACTCCCTCGACTGAAGCGGGCTTACGCCGCTTACTGTCATATAATTACATTGCATACAGGTAGCGCGCATAGAACGCTTTTTGTCCCGAATTTAAATTTCATGGAGCATGGAGCGTACCCAGTCGCAGTACTTGCTACAGATACAACTTATGAGACGGTTTAAATGTCACTCGGTTTCGTTGCTTTTCGCGCGAGGCTCCCTATCTTCTGCAGTACTGTCATTCAGTGCCAACGCCGGAATTGTGATAAATGATTATATCTGCAATAGCTAGATTTGTTGTTATTCCGTGCACGTGACTGACGTAAGTGCTGTGCAAGTACGAATATCTATATTCGTAAAATTTTGCCAGCCAACTCACAGTGCAAGAACGCCGGCTGGCAGCTCTGGTATCCGCATCCGGGGTGGTGCACTGGGCAAGTCTGGCCATAACCATAATGGGTCGACATCCAGATTATGGCTGAAACGTACAGGTAACGCATTGCGTTTGAGTCTTCAAGTAAAAACAGGGGCCAGTCAAACCGCTTGGTTACGCCGGCCGCCCCTCCCCTTTGACTTACCGCGCCCAGATCGGTTCACGGGCTGCATTATGTCCAGTCTTCAAAGGCCTATCGACAGATGCACATCCGACAAATAAATAACGCAAGAATACTTAGTGCGGGCTAATGTTGGTTTTTTCATCCTCATTATGTTTTATCCACTCTCGTCTGTGCAGTGCAATGTTTACAGTGTGGCTTTCCACAATGCTGCAAATAACTTTAACAAAATACTGGACAGCAACTCGCGGTACGCATCGCTATGCAACATCACACCCGATGAGGACAGTCATCATGAAGTGGACAGTACATCATAATACATTACATAAATACTTACATTACGTAAATAAGTAATTCGGAATGAACGTTAGTAATTTATGACTGTTGTCCTACTACGAGTATTATACGCAAGAGCAGAACATGCATGTGCATGTTAAGTGAAATGAGCGATCGTCGTCTACGTGGACCACCAAAAATCTAGAATTTCAGTTATTATTCCACAAACCGGTTTTTTCGTCCGATTAAACGGTATATACCCTTTACGGAGCACTTGAAAATGGTAAAAAACTAAAAGCTAGAACCGTTTTCTCGCAATTGCGTTGTAATTAATGATAGTTGTGCACCATTTGGTAATATTGGGTACGATATACAGCATTGTGGTGTATTTACGGAGAATTACCGCATTTGTACGTTTCTTCCTCCATATGTGGCGCTACTTCACCACGCAGATGATCATGCAGTCTGGGAAAGGTCACCCATCACTGTCAAACTGTTATCAAAAATTGCAATTGCGTGAGCTGTCTTCAGCGTTTAATAATGCGGATCCAAATGACAAAAAGTGTTTGTGCACCTTCGTATGCATACATAAATTTTGATTATTAACTCTGCGCTTATGAACGGCGTGATGATTACTAATAATTACAGTATTATCGTAATAATTCAGAGGATAAACGTAGAGTAACAAGACTGACTGCCGACTGAACTGCCTACACGTTTATGGCTAACGCCATTTACATGTGTGCCATCAGCAATAATAATAATTACAAATTATTATCCAGTTCATTAGGCCGTATAGTGTCTGTAGTGAGACTGGTAATGTTGATCGTCGGTAATTATGACTACGAGTACAACTGATGCCGGCTGAACTAGCGTAAATAAACCAGCACAGGTTGTCGCCATCACGAGTAAAGTACTGTACGTTAACTGGAGCTGGCTCTGCGTAAAGACCGATAACTTTATTAGAATCACAACCACAAATTCGCGTTATGAAAAACCCACAATATTATCTGCTTGGGCAGCGTTCCCAACTTCTCACTACTGGTAGGTTTGGAGCCGGCGGCGCGCAGCAGGGCAGAGAATGATGTACTCGTTCGCGGTTCCCGGCTCCGAATCGCAGGGTGCCGGCGTGGTGGTGTGCGCGGCGGCGAAGGCGGCAGCGGCCTGTTCCTCCTTAATACGGTCGGCGGTGAGGTTGACTGCCTCGCCAATATGCAGCCAGCTTTCGTGCGCCTGGGAGGCAAAGTGAGGAATCTGACTGCTGTCGTTCGGTATAGCGTCCGGTGCACACTACAACAAATTCAAAGTGCTACAGTTAATAACTACATCAATCATAGTTTTCGTTAAATGAAACTCACCTGCATTCGCGGATCGGTTTGGTTAGCCAGTATCAGCAGTCGACAAATTAACATAGGGGGCGGAGTGTTATTCATGATGATTTAGCGTCGAACGGGGAGGCAAAGGTTAGCGCACAACTGTACTGCGTAGTGAGAATTGAAGTAACGGGTAAACAGTCAAATTACATGCAAATGTAATTATAACTGTGTGACAGCCGTTTTTATAGTGAGACGCCGGCAAATGTCTGTCGTTGGTACGGAGAAGTGGAGATACTTGGCTGGCCTGATAAGCCGAATTCGCGTGTTGACGCGGTACAGAAAAGTGATGATAGTGATAGATGTCGTCGCGTCCACTTCACACAATACGACGAACGGTTTCGGTTCTGACACGGTTCGTGTCTGCTCGTACAGATTTTTCTCTTCGGTTTTGCTTGCTATGCGGATTTGAAATTGTCGGTTCCACGATTGTCAAGTAGTGGATTTTCAGAAACTGACCAAGCGAATTTGTAGTGACAGAAAATGGGTACGTTCAACAACGGTAAAACATGGAAGCGTCCTGTCATCGGTGCAGAGTATATTTCAAGTGCTTTATCCTGACACGAGCTGGCTGCACTGAATTCCTGGCAAGAACACTCGAAATACTGATTTGTCAGTAAAAATTATAATAAGTGATGGCTTTTCCGAGCACCGCAAAATGAGGCAGCTGAATGCTCGCAGAATTATAATTTTGGCTGATTTTTTTACGGGACTGAGGTGGTCTTAAATTTAATGAATAGTAATTAAAGGTTCGCAATTGCTGCTGCAGAAGTTATGGTTCTTACAAAAAGTTATCGTAATGCACAAGGCGCTTTTCCAGTAGTTCAGAGAATGATTTTATTCCTAGGATACTGAGTAATTATTTTAATGAGTATTCATTGATGCGGAGGACATGCCAGCTACATTAAATGCTGTTTAAAGTTTATTCAGTATTCTAACTGTCGCGACACCGACAAAATCCGATACCTACACCGGGCCGTAAACTGCGTGTGCACGGCCGGGCAGCGGCTGTGCTTTTTCAAATGCTGTCGCTGACCGTCAGTAACATTTCGTACACCGGCACGCAAGTATCATACTGCAACACCGGCATCGGGATTATTGAAAGCGCGAAGCAAATATATAGTTCTGCGTCATGTGTGCGAAGGCAGCTGGGAATGACTACGCGCGTCACCTCGGTGGGCAATCCCTGCTGACCTTTCTCTAGGAGGCAGTAACGATGAATCGATGAGCACATTATATCGTTATCGCAGCCGTCGTGGAAATACTATTGATATTAACTAGCCAAACGGAGGTCCTCTAATTCAGGCAATACAAAAAAGTAGACAGTAAAGACTGTACACCCGCGTCAGATGCACAAGAAGAACATGGTGTCAGAGGTACCCTTCGCTGTGATGCAGTCGATAAAATTGTCATCTCGGAACTGAAAAATTAGCGAGGTTACCGGATCTCGTTCTCCCAGAACTGCATAGCGCAGATTAAGTTCTCCCAGAACTTTGGATTTCACGACTCGTGGGTAAATAATTTTTGGTGCGAAAAAGTTATCGGGCTTAAAGGGTGTTGTACGTGTAAGTACAGCAGATGGTGGGTGCCCGTATTGTTCTTTTATAAATTGAGGTTTGGCGTGATATTGTCCATGAAGCTTGGGTTTGTCCGAATTCACAACCAACTATCACCTGGCATGTATGCATTAGTGCTCTTGGTGGCCAATGATCTTTTTTTCCGTCAGTTTGCTTTTCTCAAAATATTTTACGTGTTGCTGTTCAAAGAAAACAGCAAAACGTCTGTGTTTATTGATATTTCTACACTAACGCTGACACCGTTAACGTTGAGGGCGATATTATAATTTATTGATTATTATTTTCACATTTCATACTTATTACAGACAATTTACAGTATATGGATGTTCATCAGTGATGGTCATAATATTATGTTTTGTTATTCAGACAAACAAGAGTGACGGCTAATTGGCAACCTTCAAAGCCAGGCATCCGGTGCTGGAATAACGTGCAGATACGCCGTCTGCATCAGCCAGACTTCCCGCTGATAATCCGGCTGCACCCAGCACTCCACCCGCGCCGACGCCCGCAGCTGCACGTCGGGAATGACCAGCGTGCTGGTGTAGTACTCGCTCTCATTGTACAACACACGGTACGCCGCCAGTGTCTCCCCGGAGGACATGTTGTCCCGCAGCGCCGGTGGGACATGCTTGGGGAAGGGGCGTCGCGGCGGAGGCGTGGTCATGGGGCCCACGAAGGGATGCAGCGCGGGGAATGCGGGCGCCTCCAGCCACTGCGTGTTGAAGCGCCAGATGAAGCCCATCATAGCGTGGAAGTTGTCGGTAGGCAAGGTCAGCGTGGTGGCGCACTGGAAGCGCGCCTCCTCGGAGCGGACGACCGTGACGTTGTACAGCGGCGTCAAAAGCGCTCGCTAGTGGTGAGCATCCCATCACAGACCGTATCATGTATACTTCGCTTTGACCATTATTTCGAATGGTTGCACTGTACGAATCAATATTTCTAACACCCAACACACACATTTACCCGTGTTGGTGGTCTACGGCTTTTACACTCGGCATTTGAGTCATCGCATTCAGTCAGCTTAAATGTTAAACCGCATGCTACAGGCTACAGCCTACGTAACTTTAGGCATTTCAGTTAGCCTGTTCAAGTAGTCGCCCGCTAGAGTGCCTGTGAATTTGGCCGAGTGTTAGAAATATTGATTCGCACAGTGCAAGTGTTCGGAATAATGGTCAAAGCGAAGTATATAACTGTATGCTCAATAAATCATCGTAAATACGTGAGGGTTGAGCATATAGGCATATAGGTTGATGTTGGCGAAGCATGGCGCCGTAAGACAACGCCTCCGACGGAAAATCCAGCGATGAGGAACAACTACAGGCGAATGACTAATGACACATACTTTGCGCATGTTAAACTATGCAATGTGATTATGTGATAACAAAAGTATTATGGGAATGAACCGAAGCGATACTGCAATAGCAACAACATGAAGGTGTTTATTCCAAAGAATGAGGTTATAATTATCGACTTGTGATAATAACCAAGTAATCTTTAAATAAAACAAACAAAACACGTAAACCGTGTCCGTAAAAGAAAATTGTTAACAATATTGAATTTTTCTGGAAACCGGTACGTACGCGCTGTTTTTGAAAGCCTTGGCGACCGGTAGCCGATGGCTTTCCAAAATAGCGCATGCGTAATTAAAACGTATGTTAGAAAATGAACTTGCATGTTCCGAATAAATTTTACAGAGATTAATACAGTCGAAAATGTACAAGACTTTTTAGCAACGCTTGTATCATGTGCAATATACGTTGAGAACACTCGTCAAGAACGTTGAGAAGTGCATGGTGATATTTTGCGAAGTACCAAGCACCAAGAATGACAGCGTTAGAATAATATGTGAATGTTATTACCAAATTAAAATTTTATGAAGTTTTCTGGTAGCCGAACGACGGATCCCTTCAGTTCTCGGATTGTTTTACGGATGCCAAAGATGCAGCGTACAGCGGTTTGCATTTAATTTTAGCGCAGCTACAATACTAGATAAAAGTACGAATATAATAATTATAGTACTGTTACTGTGTAATTATACTAATATTATTACTATCCATATTACAGTATATTAAGTAAAGTACAAAGTCAAATGCACCAAATCTCTTGAATTCCGTATTCTATAAAGGTCAACACGACAAATAGGTATGAGCCATCAAACCAACGTTAGTAAAATAAAAGCGCCACTTAAATTCTTGTGGAAATTCTATCGGAGTGCGCGACAAAGGTAACTGGGCGTTTGCGGGTAGATCAGGTCGACGGTGCAAAGTCGGCGGCCACTGGAGCACATTTCCAGCGCCGACAAGAAAGTGGGCTGGGCCACACGTAACAAAGCATACAGAGAATTTGCCACAAATTTAACTACACTTAGCTCGCTAACTGTTCTTTGTCTTTAAGCAGTACTGCTTAAATTAAGTCATTTAATTAAGGCGAAATTAATTAATTCAGGCAGAACCACTGCTGCAGATGCATTACAGTACCTGCTCTTTGGCCAACCAAATGAGGCCCAGTATGCATGTGGAAAAATGGCCCGGCAAAGAAAGAATCCACATTGATTTTATCTTGATGCATATGCAGATAAAGTAATAACTTTATTACTATGTATTATAGCATTACTGTGTAAACCCTGCATGATATCTGCAATAAATACATATAGATAGATATATGCACAACTACACGCTTTCGATTAATATACACTTGTGTGGTAGTTTTATTGTTGTGAAAGAAATTCTGACTGTAATAATATCTTGTGGCAGAAGCGATTACATCACAACCCTACGGTATCTACGATAATATTAATTGACATCGATATGCTCATAATTATTGCCTTCAGTAAACTGACCAGATTGTTGTTGTCGAAGCTGCGGCAAAGGTGGCCTATTGGCCATGGCCGGTTTCGGGCCGGGTAACTGCAACTTTGCCAGTAACAATAATCGCCGATAATCATGGGCAGACAATATTGTATATCACTTCCACTGATCTGCCGAGACACAGCAGAAAAATGTTTTGGTAGCTCTGAGTGCGATTATAACCCCGCAAAAGATAATTGTACCCAGAGCTACCAAAGCAGTTGGAAGTACAGATAGTAGTGGTCCAAAAATGGTATACTACCTGGCTTGTCCGTACTAGTTTCGTTCGTTGCAGCCGCTTCAATTATTCTGGCCGCCTGAGCGGCAATTGCCTTAATCGCAATCGATGTCAAAGCTTTATTCTTGTGATCACTCCGATATTAATTATCAGAATAAAAGAATAAAACTTTGCCATCGACTGCGAATCAAAAATTTTCAAATGATGGATTAACTTTTTCAGGTCAGAATGTGTGGATCCCTTGTTTAGAATGATAAATAAGATTACACACAAAATTGTAGAGAAACTGCAATAGAAATTAATATTTCTTGTGTTGTGACTGAGTAGTAGGTATCATGCTTCGAATTCTCGCATCATAGTGGCAAGAGACAGACGAGGACTGAAAACACTTTTATAGTGATCATGAAGGCTTTCATGATCAGTAGAGACTGTAGAGCTAACCCGCCGGATGCTGCAGTAACCGGCGGGTGTTCAGTGTCA